TGCTTCCTTGTAAGGAAAGCTATGCCAACCTACACAGCATGTTAAAAAACAGAGACATTTCTTTGCTGACAAAAGTCTGTCTCGTCAAAGCTATGGTTTTTCCAGTAGTCATATATGGATGTGAGAGTTGGGCTGCAAAGAAAGTTGAGCACCGAAGAAATGATGCTTTTGAAGTATGGTGTTGGAGAAGACCCTTGAGAGTGCCTTGGACTGCAAGGACATCCAGTCAGTCCATCCTAAAGGAAATCAGTCATGAATATTCATTGGAAGGACTGATGCTGAAGCTGAAACTCCAATACTTTGGCCACCTGATACGAAGAACTGACTTCTTGAAAATACCCTGATGCTGGGAAGGATTGAATGTGGGAGGAGAAAGGGATGACAGAGGATGAGATGGTTGGATGGTATCACTGACTCGATGGATATGAGTCTTAGAAAGCTCTGGGAGTTGGTGAAGGACCGGGAAGCCTGGCATGCTGCGGTCCATGGGGTTGCAGAGTCAGACACGACTGAGCGACTCTACTGAACTGAAATACTGGCCACACAGAATGAGTTTGGAACTGTCCATTTTCTTTAGCTTTCTGAGAAAAAGTGTGTAGACGGGGTATTACTTCTTCCTTGAATCTTTGGTAGAATTTGCCATCAGTGCCATCTAAGCCTATAGCTGTCTTGGTGGAAAGGTTTTTAACCAGAAATTCATTTTCTGTAACAGATAATATACCGTCCAGGCTACCAGTTTCTTCATTGTGAGCTTGCCGTTGCTCTCTCCTCTCTAGCACTTTGGCCTGTGAACTCTAGCCGCTTGGTTTTCTGAGACTTTTCACTCTGTCTCCTCAGCTTAAAAAAATCTGCTGGTACCCACCTCAGTTGCTGTCTCTCTTAGGCCTGGAGACCTCTTAAGACTCTAACCTGGGAGAGGAGTAGAGCTCACCTCAGGTATTTTCCATCCCTGGGCATCACTGTCCTACATTGCCTCGTGTGTGGTATCTTAAAAACCATTGTTTTGTGTATTTTTCTAGTAGTTTGTTTCTTCAGACAGTTGGGTATATCCTTATTCTGTTATTCCAGGGAGATTTTATACCATCACCATCTTTTTTGTAGTGGTGGGGCAGGGCTCACACACACTCAAACACAAACATCAATTTTGCAAGAATCCAACAAATAAGCCATCTTTGGAGTTACTACTTATGATAAGCATCCTTCGATCATTTCAACAGTGAAGCTAAACTAACTCATAAATGAAGAAATGTTAAAAGTAGGTTAAAATAGAAGCTTGAATACCTGTGCCTGTCTCACTGGCTACCCAAAAGCTATGAAAATAGAGCATCATATATCTTATGATCATGGGAGAACAGAAGAAGAAGCTGTTAATGGAAAAGAAATCTCATGCAGTTACTCAGTGATAGAAAGCAGATGGAACTGAATCAAAATCTAGTGAAGAAACCAATTACCCAGAACATACAGAGGAGAAAACTAACCAGAAGGTAGGAACAGATGCTGTTGATCTGCAAACTTCGAGTGGAAAACTGCTGGAGCCCCTAGACTCTTAGCAGGCTATTGGAAGATGAGCATTTAGAACTGGCAGGCCAGTCAAGCCCCTTCCCTTATTCACTGTCTCAGCTTTATTCCAGGTTAATAAGTCAAGGTCTGTGCTGTGAAGAGGATGAGCCATCTATCTGATGTGATTTCTAAGGTGGGGTCATTACTTAGAAAGAAACATTTCAGAGTTTGAAGAAATCACAGAGACGATTCAAAGAAATCTCAGGGAAAGCAGCATGAAGAAATAGGTACACATAAATGCAAAGGAAATTGGAGCCATCTGCCTGTACTAGTCTGCCCACTCTTTTTTTTTTTTTTTTTTTTTATTTTTATTAGTTGGAGGCTAATTACTTTACATCATTGCAGTGGTTTTTGTCATACATTGAAATGAATTAGCCATGGATTTACATGTATTCCCCATCCCGATCCCCCCTCCCACCTCCCTCTCCACCCGATCCCTCTGGGTGTTCCCAGTGCACCAGGCCCGAGCACTTGTCTCATGCATCCAACCTGGGCTGGTGATCTGTTTCACCCTAGATAATATACATATTTCGATGCTGTTCTCTTGAAACATCCCACCCTCGCCTTCTCCCAGAGTCCACAAGTCTGTTCTATATATCTGAGTCTCTTTCATTCATAAAATAGAATGCCAGGGACCACCAGACATTTGGGGAAGCCTGATAGCCTGAAGCAGAGAAACCAAGGTGAACAAACAGCTGAGCCCGAAAGAGACGTTGATAGGCAGTGTAACAGGTTGAATTGTGCGGCGCCCTCCCCCCCACCCCGCAATGAGATGTTGAAGTCCTAACTCCCAGCACCTCAGAATATTAAACCTTATTTGAAAACACATTCCAGATGAGGTCAGACTCAAGTAGAGTGCATCCCTAATCCAATATGACTAGCATCTTTATTAGAAGACAACCATGTGAAGTTAAGAGACTCACAGGAGAATTCCTAGGATGACGGAGGCAGAGAGGAGTTATGCAGCCGCAAGCTAAGGAGTGCCTGGGATTTCCAGAAAATCACCAGATGCCAGAAAGAAGCAAGGGAATGTTCTTCTTTGGGTTTCAGAGGCACCAAGGTCCTGCTGTTTGATTTTTAAGCTTCTAGCTTCCAGAGCTCTGAGGTAATTCATTTCTGTTGTTTATGCCACGCAGTTTGTGGTACTTTTTATGTCAGCCCTTAGGAACTAATACTGGGAGTAAAAGAGAATTTAATAATTCTTATCAAAAACATAAAATGGTCGGATAACCCACAGGAAGATGTTAAAAAAAGGAATCAGAAAAATAAATGGGGAATAAATAGAAGACAAGTAATAAAATTGCATCTTAGACTTAAACCCTAGCATTTTTTATTATTTATCTCAAAAATGGAAATGATCTAAATGTACCAATTAAAAGATAGAGATGACTAGAGGGGATAACAAAACATGATCCAGCAGTATGTTGTCTACAAAAATCTCACTTCAAATATAATGATTTAGACAGGTTGAAAGTAAAAAGTTGCAAAGTATATATGGTGAAAATAATTAATTTTTTAAAAACAGGAGTGGCCGTCTTAATGTGTATGTTAATTTCCTGGTTCTGATCTTGTACTGTAGTTATGCAAGATGTTTCCTTTGGGGAGGTCCGATGAAGTGTATATGGTATCTCTCTGTATTGTTTCTTATAATGGCATATAAACTTGCCAATATCTCAAAATAAGATTCATTCACATGCAAAAGAATGAAGTTGGTTCTCTACTTATATGCAAAGATTAAAATGGAAAGACCTAAATGTAAAAGTTAAAGTTCTTAGAAGGAAAAATAAATGTAAGCACTAAAACTATAAAAATTCTTAGAAGTGTAAATCTCAGGACCTTGACATAGGCATTGGTTTCTTAGGTTTGACACCAAAATCACTAGCAATAAAATGAATAGGTAAATTGGACGTTATCAAAATAAAAAATATTTTGTGCTTCAAAGGACACTGTCAAGAAAATGAAAAGACAATCCACAGAATGGGAAAACAGTTTTGAAATGTGTATCTGCTGAGGGAATTATAACTAAAATATATAAAGGGAATTGTATTTAAAATATATAAAGAATACTTAATTATGATAAGACAAATGACCTAGTTTTAAAAGTGAGAAAAGATCTGAGTAAACATTTCTCCAAAGAAGATATACAAATGACCAAAATGCACATGAAAAGATTTTCAGCATCACTAACCATCAGGGAAGTACAAATGAAAGACCACCACGGGTGACCACTGCACACAAACTAGGATGTCTGTAATTAAGAAGATAGGTAATAACAAGTGTTGGTGAGGATGTGGGGAACCTGAAACTCTCATACTTTGCTGGTGCTAATGGCAGCTTTGAAAAATAGTCTGGCGATTCCTCAGAAAGTTAAACATAGAGTTACTTATTGTATGACTCAGCAATTTCACTTCCAAGTATATACCCGAGAAACAAAACATGTGTGCACAAAAATGTGTACACAGATGTTCACAGCAGCACTGCTCATGCTGGTCAAAGGTGAAAACAACTCACACGTCCATCAGCTGATGAGTGGATAAACAAAATGTGGCATATCCGTTGCAAAAGAAAAAGAAATGAAATGCCGATACATGCTACAGCATGGATGAATCCTGAAAACATGCTAAGAGAAAGAAGCCAGTCACAAAGGATCATATTTTGTATGATTTCAAGTATCTGAAATGTCTAGAATAGGCAAATCCAGAAAGACAGAAAACTGGTTAGCAGTGACCGGGTGGGGAGGAGGAGATGATACAGGGTTTCTTTTTCAGGTAAGATGAAAAAATTCTAAAATTGGTTCTGGTGGTGTTTGCACAAGTCTGAATATACTAAAAACCATTGGATGATGGATACACGAGAAATCACTGAATTGTATGACCTAGGAATTGTATCTCAACAAAGCTATTAGACATAAAACTTTAAAAATTAAAAGATCAAAATGCTATGGTATGATTATTATTTCATAACATACCTTGTAATATAGAAACAATACTTTCTCTCCCACCTGTTTAGTAAATAATGATTTGGAAACAGTTCAAACCATTCCTTACTATCTTCTAGGAAGTGGCTTTTCCTAAACAAGCTATGTCAACAAGAATGTAAGGGTTGTGCCTCAGAAAAACCAGTGTTTCCACACCCATAGACACACACACACCTGTATGAGCATATGCATATGTAAATATGCATGTAATATATAATTAGTCCTTTGCTTGTCACAGGTCATTCATCACTATGGATTAAAGACTGTAGAATTTCCTTCTGATTTTGTGCTGTTAGTCTTGTTTGAGTTACTCTTTACATTTTGAAAAAGATCCAGTCACAAGAATATTCAATTAATTAACGTTTGTACTCAGACTGACATTCTATCTTTTGAGCTGTAATTCTTGAGGAATACCAACATCATCTTCAGTGAAGCTGATGAAGTCCTATTTGTTAATTTTCAGCTTCCTAACGAGGATCCTGAAATTTTTGAAGTTTCATCCAAGTGTCTGTCTATACTGGTTCAGTTGTATGGAGGGGAAAACCCAGAGAGCCTGTCTCCTGAAAATGCAGAGACCTTCGCTGATTTACTAACATCCAAAGAGGACCCAAAGGACCAGAAGCTTCTGTTGAGGATTCTCAGAAGAATGGTGAGTCCACACAGAAGCTGGATGGGCAGCCTCAGTGGTAGCTGGAAGATGGGGAGTAGTCAGGTTTCTTGACCTCCTTTCATTAAAGAACTCATGATCACCTTTGCCTGTAGTCACCTACTGTTAACATTCATCATATTCCACATATCTATCTGTATATACACAGAATTTTTGCTGAACTGTGAGAGTTAGACATATTATTTGTGCTTATCTCTTAATATGTGAGTGTGTATTTCCTAATGAAATGAATGTTCTCTTAACTATAGTTATCAAAGTCAGGAAATTTACCATTGAGACAAATATTTTACTAATCTGCCATCCATATTCCAACTTTGTCAACTGTCCCCATAATGTCCTTTATGGCTTGTTTTCCAATACAGATTCCAGTCCAGCATCATGTATTTTAGTAGACAGATGTACTTAATCTGGAATAGTTCTGTAGCCGTTCTTTGTCTTTTATGAGGTTTCTGAAGAATGGACCAGGTATTTTGTAGCATTTTCCCTCCATGTAGGTCTCTCTGCTGTGTTCCAGACAACTAGATTCAGGTAAGTCCCAGAAGAAATCCATCAGATCCAGAAGTCCATCATGTCTATTGGCCGTTTACTGGTGATGTTAGTTTTGATCACTTCATTAAATCAATGTGTGGTTACTATTTTTAAAAATTTTTAACAGCTGAAAAATGGAGATGTTCAAACTCACAGTATTTCTAACTTCCAGTATTGTACATTAGGGAAAAAATTTCATGTTGCACCTTTTATGTTTTGTTTTTAAAAAGGTGTATATACTTGAAGGTCCTTTTGAAGACTTTTTACAACAAATCTTGTGCTGGTTTTGAAGGCCGTTGTCACAGTAGCTATTAGTGAAGTCAGTTGAGGAGTAGAGGTCTCATCAGTTTGTGTCACGTTTTGGCTTGTCAGTGTGTGGTCACTTCTAGATCCAGCTATTCTGAGGGGTCCTTTGGCAGCAGAGGCTGTGGATGCTCCAGAGCGTTGTCCGCAAGACAGTGTTTGTGTTAATTTGATAAATAGCTGCAATACAGGGTGGAGCTGAATCCCCATGGCAGGTTTTGGGTGACAGAACTAAAGGAGAGATGGAGTTACCCTCCTAGCTGCTACATTTTACCTTCGTATAGCCGGACCTCCCAACCCCAGCAGTGCTTTGTGCCTAGTGGGGTGGCTCCCTGCATAACACAGTTTAGGTGAGATTCCCAGTGTGTAGGATTAATACTTCTGGGCACAGTGGATCTAGGCATGGTAATCCAGCCTAGCACTAGGTGACTGAATCACATAGTAAGGCAGGTATTTCCTCTTCCATTTTATTTTGCTCTTTCTGAGAATTTAAAGGTGAAACTCTCAGTTTGGTATTACTGTGTCTTTAACACCTCTTTAATCTTCCTTTTTTAATAGAGAGTAAGCCTCTCAGGTGACCAGGTTTTTCAGTAGAGAGATTTCTTTTTTAAAATAGTTTTATTCAGTTAAAAAAGGAGCATCAATGTGAAATCAAGTACTGGAAAATGTAGTAACATGAGTGATATGTAGATGTGGCAAAATTGTGTATTTAGTATTGAGTTATAAAAGCTTGGGGAATATTGACCTCCTATCTGATACGATTAATTTTATAGAGATTCACCATATCTTATTTGAAAATCTTAGGATGAAGTTTAGATTGGAATTTATAATTTTCAGATCTTTTCAGCATAGTTTCTTAGGCTATATATGACATGACCCCATAGGGGTCACCCGGGCAGTACTGTTGTCAAGCAGTATGGTAATATTTCTGTCCCAAAATGTATGAACAGTCACACTAAGTGGGCAAATAAAAACTATGTGTGACTCCATGGGAGTCAGGTTTTGCCACCAAATATGTTTTTAAATGAAACTTACAAAAATAATTGATTTTCATAGCTTTCTAGATTTTAGATTTGCAGATGGGAGATTATGGACTTGTCTCCGAAATAAATTACATCATTTTCTAAAACCAGATTAATGTAATCATGCAGAAAACAGTTAGGTACCAACTTAGTCAAAGTAACCAGACTACACCATCTTTTAGTTAATTTCACAGTCTGAAATGATTTCCTTATAGTTTCTGATCTACCCCCTATAGGACCAGGTAGGTTTTGTTTGTGGGACAAAAGTTGAATCCTAGTGACTCTATCTGTGTGTGTGAAATTAAAAGTAGTTTCTGGTGCTGCTCATCCTTTTTTTAAAATTGTAGTAAACATAATATAAAGTTTGCCAGCCTTCTTTGATAAGTGCTTTATCATCTTCTGAAAACTTTCTAAATTACCCCTGAATCAGTCAGTGTTGGATTCAGGTGATGCAAAATCAGGGATTCTGGGTCTTGAGCTTGCCTATCCTGAGGCTCCATTCTGCTTAAACCTGGTACTGAGTCCAGCGTGTTTGGAGAGAAACAGCAGCAGATGACACACAGAGGGGTATGGCGCCAGCGGCCACTCCGCACCTGATGTGAGCCTTCCTGCCTTCTCTCTCTCACTGCTTCCTGTCTTCACCTCTGTGGCTGCCATGGATTTGTAACTGTCAACTTACTATTTATTCTCACCTTCACAGCTTACCCTTGTTCAGGGTCGTGATGCGGTCTTGTTCGTTTTTGTATCTTCAGCGTGTTGCAATGCCTGGCCCCTAAAAGGTGGTCAGCCGATGATGTTTCTAACTGTGATAAGGACTTTTGGTGCATCACCTCATTTAATCTTCACAGCACTCTTAGAGACCAGTTCCAGTGATTGTTCCCATTTATTTGTAGGTTAAAAACTAAGGCTCAGAGAACTTATGTAACACTCCCTAGGCCACCAACTGGGAATTGGCAGGGCTGGCATCAACCAAGTTCAACTGACCCTCACCTGTACCCTTGCCAAGTAGCTGACTGCTTTGCCACTGCTCTGCCCAGTACTGATCTGGACTCTGAGGGCACCCAGTAAGCTGAGCCTGACTGAATTTTGATCAGGAAGGCACCTATGAGATTCATTCTTCATTATGGGAAAATATAGAGTTGTTACTCTGTGCCTGCACTACGCTGGGGATCCTAAGACAGTCAAGCATGATCTTCCTGCTCCCTATTCTCAAGGATCTCTAACTGGAGTGAGGCAGAAACATGAGCTTCATTATGAAGCAGAATCTGATTGGTGCTGGGGTAGAGGAGCCAGCAATGCCACAGAAACAGTCCCGTGGGGGAGGAAGTTGAGCAGGACATGGTGTTTGAGCTGAGTGTGGAGGATGTGTTGGTCATCCATGCGTGGACCAGGAGGAAGCACATCCTGAACAATGGCCCCGAAACCCACAGGGCCAGACAGGCAGACGTGAGAAAGGACAAGACAGCCCCAGGGACCAGACATTCGGAGTTCAGACAAGTGGTTAGAATTAGGAAGTTCTAATCCCTGAAACCGGGAGAAGGCAATGGCAGTACTCCAGTACTCTTGCCTGGAAAATCCCATGGACAGAGGAGCCTGGTAGGCTGCAGTCCATGGGGTTGCAAAGAGTCAGACATGACTGAGCGACTTCACATTCACTTTTCACTTTTATGCATTGGAGAAGGAAATGGCAACCCACTTCAGTGTTCTTGCCTGGAGAATCCCAGGGGTGGGGTCGCACAGAGTCAGACACGACTGAAGTGACTTAGCAGTAGCAGTCTCTGAAACCAAAGGACAGTGGTAGCATCTCAATTGAGTTCAAATTACGTTTACTGTGGTATAAGGCTTTCTCATAGCACCTGGCCTGAGATTGGGATTTAATAAGCAGCCACTGAGCTGAGTAAGAAATGTCTATAAAATAATCTCTACTTTTGTTGTGGGCGAGTATTCATTTTTGCTCTTCATTGTATATTGTCTGCTCATTTGAGTGCTTTATAGATGCACAGGTGAGGCTGAGAGGTACTTTGATAGGCATTCAGTTGGCCCTCAGCCTGACACTTCAGTCCCCTCCACTCTGTCGCCTCCAGGTTCCTGAGGAATGGGTGAGACTGGATAGGCGGATGCATGGAGGATGGGAACCTGGGAGAAAGAAGGAATGTGACATTTCCTGTACTTAAATCCTTAAATCTTAAGGGGGCTGGCTTCTCAGGCTCTCCTACTTGGACTGGAGGAACCAGATTTGATAGAGAGACAGGGACCCGTCAAGATTTGTTACCTGATTCAGTAACTGGATTAAGGAGGCCTGTTAATTGCAGCCTTCATTTATAAGAAGTTAAAAAGGAAAAGAAAAGCTCCTCAAGTACCTACCTTATTAAGTGCACATTCCTTCTGAGAATAGTTCTCTTTTTCTTTTTTTTTCCTTAATTGAGGCAAAACTGACATGTAACATTAGATTAGTTTTAGGTGTTTAAGATAGTGATTTGATATTTATATATATCACAAAATAATCACCATAATAAGTAGAATTAACATGTATTGCATACATAGTTACACATTTTTCTTGTGATTAGAACTTTTAATATTTACTATCTTAGCAATTTTCAAATATACAGTATAATATTATTAACAGTAGTCACTGCGCTATACATCCATCCCCATGACTACTTATTTTATAACCGGAAATTTGTACCTTTTAATCTCCTCACCAGTTTTGCCCCACTCCCCACCCCTCACCACTTATCTGTTCTCTGTATCTATGAGTTTGACCTTCTCTTTCTTTTTTTCTTTTATGATTCCACATATAAGTGAGATTATGTGGAATCTGTCTTTCTATGCTTGACTTACTTCATTTAGCGTAATTCCCTCAAGGTTGGCCCATCCATGTTATCACAGATGGCAAGATTTCATTCTTTTTTATGACAGTAATGTTCCATTGTCTATGTGTATCACATCTTCTCCTATTATTGGACATTTAGATTGTTTCCATATCTTGGCTGTTGTAAACAATGCTGCAGTGAACACTGGGGTGTATATATCTTTTTGAAGTAGTGTTTTTGTTTTCTTTGGATGAATAGCCAGAGGTAGAATTTCTGGATCTTAAGGAAGTTGTGTTTTTAATTTTTTGAGGAACCT